GAAAGAGTGGATTGTCATGTACCACCTCCCACAAAAGCCTTATTGATCCATCTGCCTATTGAAGGTCTGTTATTAAATAAGTCCTCAAACAGCGTCTGATTGTATTGGAATTTAACAAGAGCTAAACTGTCATTAGGCAATCCCCAGATATGTCATTTAACCCTTCCCATTGTGCTCCTTATCTATCTTTTCTATGCTTGATGCAGTTTTATTAGCTCGTTGATAGTGTCACCTGAGCAGAATAGTAGTGAGGATTACCTTTGTCTCTTGCTCTCTCCTCTGGCTTTTATGAATTTCTCAGTGAAGAATCAGAAGGTAAAAATCGTAAAATTCCTTGAAAACCAAAGCCAGCCAACTCTGGGACACTCTTCCATTGCTAACATAGGTCTTTCTCTTGAAAAAAATGTGAGAGAAAAGTGCGTTCAGTTCCAGACTACCTGTCTATTAGTACACAGAAGAATGCTGCTTGCCATTTCCTATATAATACTAATATTCCTAATATTTTCTAAGCTAGTATGGTTTGTATGGGATATGATCAGTGGTCCATGTAGTCCAGAACTCATGCTGGTTAGACATTCAAAGAGCCCAAGACGGTGTCGATCTAAGTTATGCGGCTTTCTGTAAGCAGCATAGTTTAGATCAGTAGCGAACAGAACACACATTCGCCCCTTGGTGGTAGGGGGACAAATTTTAGACCAGGTTCTGCCATTTTTAAACCAGTCTATGTGCCTTCTGTCCTGTTACAGGTATAGACTGGTTTCTGATCATTTATACCAGTAAAAGTGTAATGTCTGTACCTGGCCTCTGTCTGACACTGATCGGTTACTAGAAACTAGTCAAAAGAGGAGTTTCTTCCTCTTCTCATCAGTTAGTGGCTGCTTTATATCCTGAAGCATTAGGAGTAATAATCCTTTTATTATTTCTAATGTAATTGTGGATAGTCTTATTTCCATATAAATGTTCAGTCCATTTCTTGAATCTTCTTAAGCTTTTACTTTAGTGATATCGTGTGGCAGTAAATTCCACAGATTATGTTTTATTCAGAAGAAAGTGCTTCCTTTCTACCAGATTTAAACTTGCTGACTTTTAAAATTGCATTGTGTATCAACTTTTCCTGGAAAATGAGAACAATCCATCTAACCTTCTTTTAACCTTATGCAATACTGAAGAATGACCATTTATCCCTGCTTTTTTATTTGCAGTTACTTTGCCAGTACAGCCCATGTCTGTACCTTACCTTTTAGTCCTCTGCTCCAAGGGACTTCTGTGACCAGCCATTGCATTGTTCACTGTTTTGTTGTCAAGCTCAAAACATTCAGCTAGAGAGATTTGATTTAGTAGTTTGATCTTTATGTTTATCTCCACATTTAGTAATAATTTCTGCAGCACTCACTATCTTGGATCTTGTAAGGATGCCCACACTCTTAGTTCATTAAGCCTTAGAAGATCTTGTGAGATAGGACAGTATCATGTCACCGTATTTTACAAGTCATGTGGGGAGAGAAGCACAATTAAACTAAATGACTTCCTCAACATCACTCGATAAGTTAGTAGCAGAGATGCAAACAAAACCTAGTTCTCCTTGACCTCTTGTCCCGTGCTCTCTACCTGACTAATCTGGAGTGATGCCTAAAACACTGAAAATAATTGCTTGAAATTGTTTACTTGATTATTATGTTCCATTCAGAAAAAAAATTTAGCAACACTTCTACTTCTCTCCCTTCCCCCCCCTACACTTAAGATGGAGTTTTTAATTATTAGTTTGGCACATTTTAATTTGTGTTTATACAATGCTGAGCTTTCCTTGATTTACAGTCTCACAGAAATCTCTGCTAAAGCATAAAAACGCACTTAAAACATATTGTATTCCCTTTACAGCCAATATGGAAGTGCCCTTTTCACACTCTCTGCAGCAGTTTCACATTATAATGTATATAACTTTAACAAATGGAGCATAATAAAGTTATCACCCCATGGAGACTAAAAGATTGGGCTGCTGGGTATGTTCCCCTCACTAAATGAAAAAGTAGCCTTAGGCATAGGAGAACAATTGCATCTTGAGAAGGATTTGTTTCAATGTGCAATTCTGTATTATATGTGTCATTTCTGAATAAACTAATACATACAGTCCTTGAAAACATGTTTAAATTAATACAATATAAGTGCATGTCACAGCAAGCTTCATAGATGTTCTGCGCATAGTCTGCATATTTGTCTGGCTAGAAGTGAAATAAATAGACTTTCCTATCCCCACTACACTACCTGTGTGATAACGGGCTATATACTTCTCTTTATGTGGTATAGGGAAAAATAAATGGCCCAGAAAGTATGTGTGTAGGAGGAAGGGAGGGTGGGGAAGAACGTTACCTTGGCGTGTTCCCTCCCACTCTCAGGGCCTGCGGAAGCTGTTAGGCTGCATATACAGACACACATTAGAACTGATCTGAATCCTGCCATTGCTCAGTCACATTAAGTGCAAAGCATATCTTGTCAGGTAAAGAACCCTGATATCAATATAACTGTCTTCCACTATGGAGTGTGCTATTTGGTGCAAGGCAAATGGATCAGTGGTGTCACCAAAACCAAGTACACTGTCCCCACAAGACAATAATGTGAGCCAATTTGCTTCTCAATGTCTCCACCAAAAATATTGCATGTAACATCACACACAGAGTATTAGTCTATAAACAACCTGCTAAATTACTTAGAAATCAGTGAAAACCTAAATTCAGCTTTGCTGCTGAACGCAAATGTAGGTCCTTTGTATTGGAGGTATTCAGAGATGCTCTTTTAAGCCTTTGCAGGTCTACAACTCCAAAGCAGTTTAACATATAAGTATAAAGCATCAGCAGAGGTGCATTTTTGCCTCAGTCCCCACATAGAGGAAGTTAGGCAAAGCAAGGCAGCATTCAAATTGTTAATTAGCTTCTGATGAGGGAAGGTTATATTAAAGCTAAAGCACCAGTATCTCCTCCTGAGTTAATAGTCTTAATCCATCATATTTTTTCTTCATGGTTTAATCTACTCTTTAAAATTTGAAGACTGAGCAAATTCTGCATGTGTCATTATGGCTTAAGAGTCAGAAAATCATTGCTTCAAGTAGTGTTGGAGCAGTGTTGTAACTGTGGTGATCCGAAACATATGTAAGAAGCAAGGATTTTTTAATAGTTTTTTACTGAACGGCATGGTTGGGAGAGATTGAATGCTTGTCTCTCCCAGATACACTCTCACCTTGTGCCCAAAAGCTTTTCTAAATCTCTCCCAACCATGCAGCTTATCCAATAAAAGACACGACCCACAAAAATATATATGTCCCAGAATGTGCCTCTTGTTTTTTTCCCAACTACTTTCCCATGAGTCTCATTCAACTCCCATTGAAATTCATGGAAACTTTTTCACAGGCTTCGAGACAGGACTGTAGTCATGTCCATCAAACAGTGATTAAGGAGAAATATTCACGTAATTAAAAAAAAAAGGCTTACTCTGGCTGTGTCTATGCCCTTTTTAGCTACATGTCCTTTGAATAACCTACTGGATGTGTTTTCCGGAAGAAATGTTCGGGGAAATGACAAACTGTAACCAAACATTAGAAAACATTTGCAAAAAGCAAACTTTGAAATTTTTAAATGAGAGTATCCTCACAGGGACTTAGGTCTGAATTACTCATCCAGTCTGGGAATGGAA